GGAATTCATTTGTTTAGTCAATTACCAAAATTTGGATGATTTTGAATATTCACTTGAAAAGTTATCAAAGAAAAACATTTTTCATTTTGTAACTTCGAGGGCCCGTAACTTGGTTACGAAGACTTTTAGGAAAAAAAGTTATATGAAGTACTGGTGATATTTTGACCCCATCTATACATTCCCGAGTGGAAAATAGGAAGTCCAGGGACACCCTGTATTTGTATATATTTATATATTTTAACATATCACCTACTCGTATGCTCACTTTCTAATGAATGAATCTACCTGAATAGGTATGAATTTATTAACTATATGAAAAACATTTTTGAAAGTACCGTGAATATACTTGTTGTTATTCTCAATGCGCATGCCTAAGTTGTTGTTGGTTTCGAAAGCAATATATACACCAGTTTTGTGCAGAAAATCTGAAATATTTTTAGTGGGTTGACCTAAGTAGGTCAAGGTTCTATAACTTCCATCCTCTTCTCTTCGAATTGGGTAAACTTTCTTCAAAGTTTGGCAAAGTTAACACCAAACAAGATTTCTCAATTTATCGTAAACAGGAACACAGAGATATTATCATTCATAATTCGTCCACCCACCCGTATCAGCACAAAGTAGCAGCTTTCAACAGTATGATCCACAGGCTGATAAATGTGCCCTTTTCAGAGGCGAATTTCAATAAACAACTGAACATAATAAAACAAAAAGCCGTCAACAATGATTGCGATAGCAGTCTAACACATTTTTCATTACAAAAAAGTTATACAGTTAAGCTTTGAAGGAAGTTGATCCAATTCAAAGGGAAGAGAATGAAAGTTATAGAAACTTAACCTACTTAGGTCAACCCACTACAAATATTTCAGATTTTCTGCACAGCAAAGTAAATATTGCTTTCAAAACCAACAACAACTTATGAGTGTACATTAGGAGAAACACAGATGAAAGTTCAGTATCAGAAAAATCGGGAGTGTATAAATTATTTTCTTGTGGGTCATGTCCAACGATTATGGACATAGGGGAGACCGGGGCAAGATGAAGTTCGGGGCAGCACGGGAAGTAAGCTTGTGTGCGTGAATAGTAATCGTGTTCGGAGCGGCGACAGTGCCATTTGCATGAACTTTACTCTCCGCTAGTGTGTCCAAGCAGAGCGAACAGATTAGAACTCGTTTTTGCGTTGCAGAGAGAAAAAAGTGAATTGCAAGTGTTTTTACACGATATTTGATTCGAAAACTGATGTACACACATGTAAGTACCTGTGTTAATGTACTATTTCAATCCCGAGCTTATTATAGTAGTCCAAAACATTAAATTCAAACCAGATTTTTTCGCCGGTGAAGTTTGAGGTTAGAATTGCGTCATCTTTTTTACCTACGTTTGGATCGGGGCAAGATGATCGGGGCATAATGGGATACTATCCCGTTTTGCCCCACCCTTGTGATTAAAATAACATTTTCTATGTACTGATAATCAAGTGACTGAAAAAGGTAAAAAACAAATAAAGAAACCTGGAAAAAAGGTTGCAAAGAAGATTAAAAAGACAACTGACAAGGAAAACCTGCAGAGAAAGCGTCAAACCAAAAGGTGCAAAAAAGAAACTGAATCGGAAGATAGTTCATTCCAAGAAGAGGATGATGACTGTGCTTGCATCTATTGTGGGTACTTATACTGAAATTCAACCGAAGTTGGGTCATCTGCGGCGTGTACCACGGTTGAGCGCATAATTCATGTGCCGGAGTAGATAAGGAAGATGAAGAGGCACACATTTGTGAACGCTGTCTAGCCGATTAAAAAGCGTACTCGTTTTGCCCCACAGCGTTTCCCATCTTACCCCAGTCATGGAGCAAAACGGGAAATTTATTTTTTCATTATTTGCCAAAAAAGGTCTGTGATTTTGCATACTACAACGTTTAATTATGAGAGAAAAATGTATAATGGTTACCTCTTTTGTTAAAGAATGTTATTAAAGAGTTTAATTTTCCTTGTATAACAAGTTTTGTCTTAGCTATCTCATCATGCCCCAGTCTCCCCTACAGGATTGCTTACTTAAATATATCACCACGTTTGAACAAGCGCTGAGCAGATGTGACATAACACTGGTGACACTTTTAGTAGTTGCCATAAGACTGTGTGTTATTCTAACATTTTTTGAGGATTATTTTCGAACAGTATCACATTGTTTTTGTTTATTTTGATTAAATTTTTATTTAACTATACCAGTTAGGTTTCTGAAACGTTGAGTTTGTTATTGTGAAAGTCGTATTTTTTTGTGCTTTTGGACATTTTTTATACTGATCTAAAGAGTAGACGCCCTTATAAGACTCTGATATTTTCTTCCGTTTTAAGGTTTGTTTGTTGCCATTGTGGAACTTTTTTATGTTTTTTGAACATTTTTGAATTAAATTGAGGTAAAAATTGGAAATATTTACATTTTTGTAAATAATAGCAATACTTGTTTAACCTTGTAATTTTTAGTTAAAATGCCTGGTATTATTTGTGCAGTGTCAACTTGCAAATCAATCAATCAGTTGACTCTGAAGAAAAGTGATGCTGGTGTGATAATTCACTCTTTTCCCATTGCTAGGGATATGGTTTCCACAACTTTGCAAAAAGAATGGATTCGTCGGTGCAAAAGAGGGGATAAATTCATTCTCAAAAATGGATTTTCCCAAATTAGAAGCCGTGGGCCGAATGAAATTGAAATTAACGCAGACACGATTTCAGAGCAGACAATAGGATCCTATTGCAGTAGCTCATTTTCATAAATTTAGTAGTTCTGATATTTCCACTAACATTCCTTCAACTCCAAATACAAATATTCCAGAAATAACAGAAGACTCTTTAGAATATATTGCTGGATACTTTGCTAAAAAGCATGAGAATTATCTACCTGGTTTGGGCGATTATACTTATAAAATAAAAGCAGAAGATCATAATTATAATATGCCTTCTTGGGCCCAGCAACTTTTATTGGGAGGTCTTACTAATCCCACAGATAATTGGTTACAAAAAATTGAAGAGTTGAACAAGCTTTTGGAAAAACATCTTTTAAATGGATTTAGAAAAGGGCCAGGAGTTGTAAAAACTCTTTCAAAAAGAATTGCAAATATTATTTTTGAATATTGCAAACTGAGAACAATTATCAGAATGAAATGTAATAACTTGAAGGCTGATGAAAATAGGTCACTTTGAAGAAGAATATCAAACAATTCTGATATTTGAAAAAAAATCGAAAATCAAATGAAGTAATCATATCATATCAAATATATTTAGTGGATAAAGTAGTTCCTTTTTGCTCTAATGTAGTATCATGATATATTAAATTGAAGATTTATCAATTTTATCATTTATGTAACAAAGTTTGAGTTTTTTTTTTGAATTTTTAACATTTTATTAAAACAACGATAAAAATAGAATAAAAACAACAATAAAAATTAATTGGCGCTCCGGGGCGACTTCATTGATTCCAGTGGCGCATTTGCTTTTTCAGCTGCAGGAAAATCCAGAAGAACCTGCAGCACCACATCATCTGAAGATCTTGATCTAACAATGTCCTCTCTCTCATAAAACAAAATGTAGGGTGTCTCCAGACGCTCCAATAAATCAATTCAAGTTCAAGTTGAATTATTCTATCTGAATTTCTCGTTTTCTTAATAAAAAATGAAAACCGTATCATGTATTTTCTGTCAGATGAATAAAAAAAGTTGTAACACCTATAAACAATTTATTACTTATATATTTTTGAATACCAAGCGTTTATTATAGAAAATGGAACAAAAAGTTGGAAAAATTTTTACGAAGGGCGTTGGATTATATCCGACAGGTGTCAGTGCAAGAATCTTCACAGAAAATTACCTGCATATGCAATCGGCAATACAACTGAAAGAGTCATCTCTTACATTTGAAAAGGGCAAAATACTTAGTATTAATCCATTTATATCAAGTATTCAATCCTATATAAAAATGATATTCTAATAAGGAATTTACATGAAATTTGTTTATATTAATTCAAAAGTGCAGTACCGAATCAATCCAGTGTCACCACTTTTACGTCACGAGATCACGTGATGTCCGGTGTTATATATAGGTCAAACTGAAAGAACGTTCAGAGTCTGCATTAAGAAACACAAAAATACTTTCCAAAATGGAAAAATAAATTTCACATATGCCACTTATTCAATTCCAGAAGAAAGGTTTCACACTTAACCTGTTAGATGGTATGAAAATGAACATATTCGAAATTCTCAATATCTTATGGACGATCAAACTGAATTGAATAATTCGCCATTATTGAATCTGTTCATTTCTATGTGAAAATAGGTAAATTCACAGTACTTTCGAAATTTTTTCCATATAGTTAATGAATTCATACCTAACCTTTTCAGGTAGATTCATTCATTAGAAAGTGAGCATACGAGTAGGTAATATGTTAGAGTATAAAATGGTTGTAAGTTAGAAATAACTTTTAGTTTACGCTTGAGGAAACTATTGCATAGTGAAAAACGTGTCGCGGTTTTTGTAAAACCCTTTATAGTGAAAACCATACAATAAACTGTATTATTGAGTTTTAATATGAATTTTCATCAAGTATTGGCCAGTTCTATTCAATTAATACACTTGAAATCAATTTTTCCTCATCTGTTATGTATAACTTCGTAAGCCACTGCAAGGACATCAAGGTAAAAACGTTACAGTAATTTCTGAGAATTTAGTGCCTGCTAATGCGAATGGATACATTTTGAATGAAAACTCACTTACTTTCTTACAGTTTCCACCAGCATAGAGAATGGCTTTTCCCAAGTATACATTTTTATAACTTGAATCCCAGAAATTATCTCATTCATTAGACGAACTCGTTCATCTGTTCGGTAGGCTATCGTTAGCCGGAATTTTGAAGTTTTTTTGCCTAACAATGCTGGAATGACAAATAATCACGTTGAGTACGAACATTTTTCAAGATAAAAAATCTAAAACAGTTGAAAGCAATCAATTGTGACATTTCAATATGATGAAAACCCTCATTTAATCATAACTGTGACAGGGGAACTTTTATATAGGATGTCTAACAATGTTTCGTTGAGTTTCCCAAGATTATCTTTTGAATTATTTTTTCATTAAAATGTTATCATATATTTGGTTAACATTACTCAATAAACCATTTGGAAAAAGTTCTCAGGAAGTTTATTCCACATAAGATGAAAGAGCTCTTAAACAGTGAAGTTCGAGGTGTACTGAGTTGAACCTCAAAACGATGAGCAGCCACAGTCCGTAGCGTATTTCTGATTTCTGATATGTACCGCTCTTGGTGGAATCTAATGCTCCAAGTCACTTGAACACCTCCCCTGGAAGGATCTATAAAAGAAAGACAAATCTCCAACCTTTCTTCGATGTTCCAGGCACGTGATGTTTGCGTCTCCAATCAGGCGGATGGCTCTTTTCTGGATGCAATCCAGCAACTTCAGGGTATGTTTGGGAACAGAGCTCCATACATGAAAACAATAGTCTTAACAAGGTCTAATCTGAGCTTCATAAAGCAATAATAGTTGCTGAGGTGTGTTTTCTCGTTCGGAACAGTGTTCCCAACTTTTGAGTAGCAGCCTTTGCAATTCCAGCGACATGATAGTGCCAAGAGATATCGGTGTCTATTTCAACCCTCAACTAATTTATCGGAGTAGAAAGCGGAATTGTCTGACCTGACATTATCATATCCGGTTCGGAGACATTTATCTTCTTGGAGAAAACTGATGCCTAGATTTTTGTAGCATTGAATTGAATTTGGTTACTTTCACCCCAATTTGAAATTACATCTAGATCCTCATCAAGATATGCAACCTTCTGCTGCTGGTGACGATATGCCTCCGTAGCCGATGTCCTGGAATTCAAATGAAATGACGAGACAAGTGTGCTGTGGTCAGCAAAGCAATATATCGGGTTCTTGGTTTCCTCCAATAAGTCATTGGCATACAATAAAAAGAGGGTTGGAGACAATATGGATCCCTGGGGAATACCAGCGTTGATGGTGGAAGTATTCGGGAGATATCCATCGACGACCACTTGCAGAGAACGTTCCTTCAGGAAGCTGAAGAGTCATACATAGAAATGATCCGAGAAGCCATAATATCGAAATTTGGCCAGCAAACCCTCATGCTATACACAGTCAAAGACCTTAGAAATATCAAGCACAACAGCTCTTGATTCTCCATGTTTCTCGATTGCGTTATTTCAACAAGAAAACTGCCAACGAAGATCACAGCAGGAAAAAAAGGTCGCATGTTATTGGAATAATTAGTGACCTAACCTAGTTCAACCAGCTTGGTTTAGCCAATATCATGACACTGATAAAAGTAAGATCAATAATTCAAATTTCTATGCATTGAAATTGATAAAACTCATATTTCTCGGTTAGGAAAGCACCACTGTTTTCCAATAATTTTGTTTTCAATTATTGGAAATGGCAATCATGAAAAGTCAACTTTTAATACTCACACTGAATTGGAATGGATAATAACAGAAGGAAAATGCCAGTCAAGCCAGTATAACCAACGTTGGTATAGCAAAGATACATAACCACAAATAACTCCGTTGGAGCCATCCATAGATGATGTATGAAATGAGTAGCCTGATCGAATCGTCCTACGTCGTTTGTCAATAAGTTGACCATCTGTCCAATAGTGGTTTCTGCCAAAGCAGAAGTACTTAGTCTCATAGCTTTTCTGTATATCAGTGAACACAATGCCACCCTCATCTTCATTCCCACTTGCATTATTTGTAAGTTGAAGTAGTGGATGCAGAAGACGTTCAGGAGGGCGGATACTACTATCATCACGGCGTACTTATAGGCATCGCTTCTATCGGCGTCTACTTGATTGGTGTCGTAAATCGTGAGGAGTCTCGAAATCAGTAACGGTTGGGACATTCTAAAATAAAATAAGATGAATAATAAAGTGACGTATATAATGTGACATAACATAGATTTCAGCATTACAAACGCTGGATTAGAATCTTGGTTATTAGTTGTTATGCTTGAAGACTGGCAGTAAAAAAATCTAAAAAAATGAACTTCAAACGTTCTAGACAGTCTCGAATATACCTACACAGTAGATTGAATGGACTGATGCCTATCAGAAAACAACTACTCCCCTGGCTAATACCACGAAGGGCGTTGGATTATATCCGACAGGTGTCAGTGCAAGAATCTTCACAGAAAATTACCTGCATATGCAATCGGCAATACAACTGAAAGAGTCGACCTTCAATTTTGGAACGGTAACACTTGCAGACCAGTTTCGGGCTCATTAGCCACTCATCAGTGCAAGATAGTGGCCATCATTGACTTTAGGATGATGATGAACATATTTTTAAACATATCCTAATTTGATTTAATTTCATTACTTCGGACTCCCATTGTCTGATATTATATAAAATGATTTGAAATTCCTGAAAAAACTAATAAAAAGAAGAATTGAAAATAAATAGCTGAAAATAACAATTATATACGGCAAAAAACCTGAAATGAAATAATAGTGAAATAAAATACTTTTAAAAATAGACCAATTTAACAAAAAATTAAAATAAAAAGTTAGGAGATTCCAAGCCAAGTTACTTCACGACGTTTCGTTTGGTAGTATCCACAATCGTCTTCGGATTGGTGGAATATGACCGTTTAACGGGAGTTGGTCATTTTTCACTTTATTATGGGTTCCATATGTTGCGTATCTATACGCTAGCTTGGCTGAATACATTATTGGACAGGTATGAGACTTCTTTGAATTTCCTCTTAAACCAATGTTCCTCCATGTGTATGATCTCAATATGCTCTGCTATTCCTGATTTGCTGGTTTCTCCTCGCTATATGTGTTTCTTGTGCTCGGCAATGCGAACATTCAATGGCCTTTTAGTTTCATCGATATAGGATTTTCCGCACTCACAGAGATTTCCGTGAATGCAATTCTTAGAATCACAGTCCGTGTTTGGTGACCTGGTTTTCATGAGGCTGCTACGGATAGTGTTTCCGGATCTGAAGCAGTTTCTGATGGTGTACTTGGACGCAATTATTCTCATCCTTTTCAATGATTTTCTGATGTAGGAAAGTGCAAGCACTGGTTGTGACGACCTCTCTTCCTTGCGAGGCTCCTGCTATCTTTCAGCCAAATACTGTTCCACCATCGATTTGGAGTAGCCATTTCGTTGAACGTCATTTTTGATGATGTCTAGTTCCTTCTCGAAATATTTCTGTGTGATACAAAGCCCGAAAGCACGGTTTGATAGAGTCTTGATTCCTCTTCTAGTTGATTGATGGTGGTTGGATTCGTGATTCAGATACTGTCTCGTGTGAGTGGGTTTTCGGTATACAGATGTTTCCCACTTAGTGTCGGTCCTCTTCACCAATACGTCCAACAATAGCAGTTGGTTGAGGACTTTCTTCTCCATTGTGAAAGAGATGAAAGGTCTTACGCTGTTGATGTGTTTCAGGAAGGCGTATATATAACTAAGAGGCCATTGAATGTTCGCATTTCCAAACACAAGAAACACACATAGCGAGGGGAATCAGCAAATCAGGTATAGCAAAGCATATTTGGACCCATCAACATAACATCGAGTGGTCACAAGCTGAGACCATACACGGGTAGGAGCATTTCGAAAAAGCGAAAAATGGCCAAGTCCCGCCAAACGGGGTCATCACCCACTAAACCGGTGAAGCAGAAAAAGAAAAGCGGAGATAAGTGTAAGTACTCCAATGACCCATAAATAGTCATCTCTCGAAGAAATCAGACCGGTCATCACCCGAAGACGATTGTGGATACTAACAATCGAAACGTCGTGAAGTAATTTGGCTTGGAATCTCTTAACTTTTTATTTTAATTTTTTGTTGAATTGTTTTATCGTTTCATTTCATTTCGATTGTATTTTATTTCACTATTATTTCATTCAAGGTTTTTTTTTGCTCATTTTCAGCTATTCATTTTTAATTCTCCTTCTTATTAGTTTTCTCACGGATTTCAATTCATTTCATACAATATCAGGCAATGGAAGTCCGAACAAATGAAATTCATCTGAAACAATGTCAATCACCTTCAAACCAATTCGATTCATCTTGATTTTGATAACATATCAGAAAAGTGATAATTGTATCTTTTATAAATAATTCAATGCCTAGTCATAACTATTAGAGATCTTTGAAGTTGTATCGCAAAAGTAGATCACCATCATATTCAAAGTATCAAATTATTGTATAACGCAAATATACAACAAATTCAGAAATAGTCATCCTGGAAAAATTCTACATTTTGAACTCAATGTGTTATGATCAGCGATATCAAATTCTCACTTCAAATGTAAAATGGTGATGAAAGCAAGTGTTTAATTACCTGATAATTTCCGAAACAACCACTAGAATACCCAATAATCCAAGTTCCAGAAGAAAAACACTACATAGAGCTCTCATCAGGGAGGGCTCATCATTTTTCGCTACCTGATGATTCCAAGCTGCCTCCATTCGATCTCCAAGTTTTCCAGAATCATGTTTCCTTCTATGTTGGTACATATCATCTTCTGTTAGTTCTCTTTTGTATCCCTTTTTGAAGTACGGAACCAACCAACTGGAATGAAAATCAATGAGTATGTTAGAAAAGGATTTTTGCGGTTATATCAGAAACAGCAAAGAGTGGAGAATGATGAGAAGCTGAATTTAAGACTTCGAAATGATCAAAAACAAATTAACTTCATTGATATCACTATTTGAAATATTGGTTATATCTCCGATTAGATTCATGTCATTATTTTCCTGCTGGTGTTGTAGATAGGTTAAAAGGTTTTGAATTATTAGATATATGTTGCAATATTCATAGGTTTGTTCTGGTTGAGGATAAGTTCGAATTGATGAATCCTCTGTTCTGGTTTCGACTTCGAAATGATCCTAACCTGTCTTGAACCGTCCCGAATCGTTCTTGCTCTCGAGGCTGAACTGTTGAGAACTGTTTCCGTTGTTCATGCGCATTAATGTGGAAATTTGTTTGGGGGTATTGTCTAGGATGTTTTTTCATTCATTTGATTCAAATAATTGATGATTGAGGTTAGATAACATTTGAATTGACTACAAGAATACGCTACATAACAAAATGGACATCAACAATAATTTCTTGTCTTCATTTCCTCTTATATACGATAGGTGGCACAGTGGTCTCCTCAAAATGCGTTCTGGTTCAACCAAGTGTCCGAGACTATTTCGGACTGTTTGTGATTTTTTGCGCACAGTTTCCAAACAGATTCGGATGTTAGAACCAGAAGAAACCTCATATATACTTCGAGTTTTCTTTTTGGTAGGAAATGTTCAGTTCTGAGACGGCTGAGGTCGGCTCAATTATTCATTTCCATGTTGAGATTTATCCTGCATAGTTCATTGGTTCACTATGACTACCAGCAGGTAGCTTTAGCTGCCTTCGTGGTGATTTTGATAGTTTTCTTGTATACACAAGATCTATCAACTGAAACCACAAATGTGCGGTTGGCTCCTGTTGGTAGGTCCGTGCATTTGTATTTCTATCTTTTGGTAACCAGGTGTTGCCCATCCTTACACTTGGCTGCACCGTACTGATAATGGGCCAAAAGACCAAAACACGTTTCTATGGTTTGTCACTTTCTTGAGTGATATGTCCGATTATTAACTTCTGTTTCTGATCGCTGAATGATGAATCGACATCCGACGATACGCAGTTCTCAAAATGACGACACAAAGACTCTTTATTTTCTCTGTTCATTTCCAAACTATGTCATCATCTATTTTTCTGTAAATGCCGTTTTGCTTGGAGAAATGAGTAACATCAGAATTGCCGTTTCCCGTTTTCAAAACGAATAATTTTTCAAAAAGTTACATTTCACAGGTGATATATAACATGTGTAATCGACTACTGACTCAGTTCCTACCCTCCTTAAGTTCTCCTTCATCACCTCGAAGTTTGTCACCTGGTGTTCAGAATTTTCTTTTCAATTCTGACTTCAGTGATATTGACGAAACTTATCAGCCTCCTCCAGATTTGGATTATTTCGACAGCAGTCATTATTGCGATTCCAGCAAGAAAAAGCTGGGATGTAAAAAGAGAAAAAATATAGCTTCAACAGGAGCTGTTTCTACATTTTCCACACTAGAGATGTCACACACTCAAATTAAACATACGAATTCATCTCGAAAATCTAAAGACCCAATATTAAATGATGTTATTCCACAATCACGCATCAACGAAGAAAATATGGAAGAGCACAAAAATGCTGAGGGATAAAATAATCATGATGTCGAAGGAAAAAATATGAAAGAACAAGAAGATGCTGGAGAAGGAAATAATTATGGAGCCGTAGGAAATATGGAAGAACAAGAACATGCTGAGGAAAGAAATAATCGTGGTGTCGCAGAAAGAGCTAGGGCTAAAAAGAAATGGTCAAGATCTATTCGAAATGAGAGAACGAAGTTGCTTCACACAGGGCAGAGTTATACAAATGTTAGCGGAAAGAAAGTGGAAGGGAGAAAATAAAGACCTTTGAGAAATGTTACCTAGCATTGAATTGTGACATCCGCAAGACTTTGTTCACTGAATACTGGGCTCTAGGTACGCACGATAAAAGAGTAGCTTTCATTGCTGGACTCATAACTAGCAAGGAAAAGCAAGTTATTCGACATAGGAAACAGGAAAGTGCGAAAAATCGAGAAGTGTTGTACCAATATTCTTTTGAAATAAACGAAAGAAGGGTTGAGGTGTGCAAGGACTGTTTCTGCCGAACGCTTGATGAAAAAGAGAAATTTATGAGAACTGTTTTGAAAAACAAATCACAAAAGGCATCAGGAATTACACAAGAAGATAAACGTGGGAAGCAATCGACTGCAAATAAAAAAACCGAGTTGGAAATAAATGATGTTGAGGCTCATATAAATTCATTTCCTGCGCATGAAAGTCATTATACTAGAAAAACGAATGACAAGAAGTATCTGCAGTCTCATTTAAATTCACGGATTATGTACGATTTATACAAAGATGGTAGAGAAAATTTTGTGTCTCGTACAATTTATGAACGAGAATTTCACAGGATGAAGCTATCTTTCAAGAAGCCTTATGTAGATACGTGCGTCAAGTGCGACACACTTAACATGCAACTGAAAGTTGCTACTGATTTGAATAATATAGAAGAAGAAACAGATGTGGAGAATTTTCTGAAAGGCCATCAAAATGAAGCTGAGTTAGCTTATTCTTCCAGAAGAGTGGATAAGCTTGAGGCTAAGAATGACATTACGATGAAATGTTTTTCTTTCGATCTCCAGCAATGCCTGCCAACCCCGTTTCTTGGCTCTTCGGTGGTTTTCTACAATAGGCAGTTATGGACCTATAACCTAACCATACACGACAATGCTACTCGAGAGTCAACCAACTACATGTGGCACGAGGCAACGGCAGGAAGAGAAGCAAATGAAATAGCTTCCTGTCTATATTATCATTTAGGCAAATTTTCCGATGAGATAAAAGAGGTTACATTTTATTCTGACACATGTGGTGGCCAGAATAAAAATAGTCACGTTGCTGCAATGTTCCTAAAAGCAATTTGTGATTTCCCGCACTTGAACTGTATCAACCACAAGTTTCTGATACCAGGTTACACGCACATGGAGTGCGATGTTGATCACTCCATGATAGAAAAACGAAAGAAAAAAATTGACTGTCAGATCTTTCATCCACATGACTGGTACCAACTGGTGAGGTCAACTGGGAAAAAAAAAACCTTCTTAGTTCAAGAAATGGAACAAGAGGAAATTTTTGATTTTGCAAATCTTCTCACAAATCTACTTGTTTCTAGAAAAAAGGATATGTCTGGGGAGCCATTCAAGTGGCATTCTGTACAATGGCTCCAATACAGAAGAGATGAGATAGGAATTCTTAATTACAAAACCTCATTGAATTTGGATGATCCATTCATTTCAGTGAGCTTTCTACGACGTGTAAGAAACTCGAACTTGAAGCAGATTCCATTGGAACAGAAGTATAAAGCCATGGTTCCTATTTCAACAGAAAAGAAGAATTTGGTTGCTTCATTACGTTTGGTTCCGCCAGTTTTTCATGAATTTTATTTGAACTTGCCAACCTCAGAAAACGCTATTGATCAAGATCCAGAATTTGAAAAAGTTCTGTTAGATGGTTAGTGGAACAATTATTCAATTGTTATACCTAAATTAACATTCCAGTAATAATAAAGTTCGTTGTTTTTGTACACTTTGGCGTTAATGGCCTTACAATAATTGAAGTCTTATGCCCTTGTGAACCTTTTTTTTCTCGACCAAATGTGCTCAAGGGCTTAAGTCATTCATATTCCAGGTAAGAGGTTGCACTAATACAATATTCTTTATTGCATTTTGTTCAACCATTCGAATACAAGATATTAGTAAAATTTGGTTTTCGTGGTTCAATAACGCGATTTATGACATAACTTTGAATGTTCAATCTCGATTTCTGAACAAACGAGATTTTTGACTCAATCGCTTTTTACCAAATCTCAAAGAATTCTGTCTATCTATTGATCTATTTAAAAAAAAAGATGGCTATTTATCCATTTGCTTTTTTTGTTATCATCCAAAACTCTTGCTGTCATTTTGTATCAGAAATCCAATGATTTGACCATTTGCTAACATCCATTCGACATTATGTAAAAATTATAACTTTTTCAATATCATTCACACAAGTTCAACTCAAAAACACATCCACCTTTATTCAACAAATTGTTAGAAGCGATAAAACTACCTTCATTTCACCTGAAATCTTTAACATTTTTCAAAAAGTCTTTCTCATACTAAACTGTTCATTGCCATATTGGCATGATGAAAATCTGTTACATTATTCAAAACTATCTGAATAAGAAAACCTAAAGCAAAATTGAAAATGTTCTAAATGAATAAATAATACTATGTTTTTCTCTAACTAGTTCTAAACTTTTTCCTCATCATACATTATTTTCGTAAGAAATTTTATAGATATTATTTTTGATGCCTGTTAGGATGAGTATAAAAGTAGCTTTGGCTGAACTTCGCTCAATATTATATCTGGAAATGAAGTCGATATCATGCAATGACGATTCTGCTTCAATAAAAATTCTTGTATTGTCCTGTAACTTCAATGAAACGTTCGTTGAATTCTGAAGAAAGGTTGATTGCGTAAGAGAATCAATTTTTTTTTAAATAAAAAATCGTTTTCTTGCTGACGTTTCGAATTTATTCAAAGTTTTCATATATGTGTAAATTGTTCATTGTAACTTTCTAGTACTTTGATTAGGTACACAATAAAAGTTACCTTTCATATTTTCTTTAATTTCTTAGTCTAATGAACGATCTAATGGTTCAAGATCATTTAAAAGTACTCTATAAAATGATTTATCTATTCTAGATGAAAGGTTTTCAAGTCGGTTAGTAATCATTAGGCAACAGTGGTTACCGAAAATTTTTCCAACAGTATTTCAATAGAAATATTCAAAAAACAACTTATATCTTGTTTGAAGTTGGTTGACAATGTTTCGTGGTGTATTTCCTGAGTTCGGACTTCCATTGTCCAATACTATCCTATCCTACTATTATTATAAATGCGAATGTAAGTTTGTTTTTTACGGTCTCACGTGAAAACTAATCAACCGATCGTCATGAAATTTTGTACATATGTTCTTGGTGGTATCAGAAGTAACATGGGATACTTTTTATATAAAAAAAAATTATGTAGGATGAAAAAATGTTTTGTCAAAAAAATCTCAAAATCTAGCTACTTCAACGTCATATAGTTCTCATACTGATTCATTTCTTTCGAACATATACTTATTTAATGGCATAAATAGGAGCGAAGCCGCGGGTAAAAGCTAGTATGATATAAATTGATTTGAAATCTTTGACAGAATCTGTGAAACATTGAAAAGCTGAGCTAAATAATAACAATTATATATAAAAAAACTGAAATTACAATGAAATAAAATACAAGCAACNAAATGAAGGTCAACAAGCTCAGAAAGTTGGTGCCCGCCGATTTGAACGATTGAAAGAAATTGTCACGATTCGTCGAAGTCTGCTCTTATTCGCTGTCGCACAACCAAACAATTTATTTCTGAACCCCACGTCCAGTTTGGGACGAAAAGTCCCCCCAAATGGAAATTTTTGTAATTATCCAGAAATTTCATTGTATTGAATTCGATCTTATATCAGTTCAAGAGTCATTAGGACAGTGGGTTTTATACAGTTCTTCAGTAAGTTTGAACGAAGGTTTTGATATTTTCACTCGAAAATTGAAATTCACAATGCCCTTGTTTACCCAGACTTCTTTGAGGATAGTTGAGTCTAGTAATACATTCGTGGTTCAGCCTAGCACTACTGACAATACTCGAAGCGGGTCGAAACAGCGCTGTCTTGTGTTGAAGCATAAATACGTTGTGTTTGTGCTCTGATTTTCAACACTCCATTATACATGTACACATTTCAAAAATTCTTCAAGTGTTTCAATGGATTCAGGAAAGCAAATTTGTGTTACTCACATTTTATTAACCGTTCGTCCAAAGTCACATATCAAAAACTAATATTATCGCAATCACCAGAATCAGAATAACTGACTGTCGGATTCGTCTTACATAACAAATCATATTTCAATGATATCATTATCAGTAATTTGAAATTTATCTTCATTTTTCGTATCATAATTGATTTTCAAGGGTGTTCAGTCCTTGTGAGTGAAAATCAAATAAAATGAATTGACACAAAAAGTTCTTATCGCCGATAGGCGACATTTTTTTCTATGTAAATATATTAGTGCAATATTCCCATTATTTTATACTGGTTTTTATGTTTATAACCTTTCCCAATCAGAAAAAAAATATAAATCAATAGAGAATCTGCTGAAGTGTAGTTGAGTGCAAACTGTAAAGTTCACTTTGAAAAGTTACTGTGTAATATATACTACTGAAAAGTCAATTAGGCAGTAACTAGTCGTATTCATACATTTTGCCTACAAATTGAAAATAAATATTGAAAAAAATAACTATGTAATAATGAAGA